CAAATATTCCGCACACATTCTTTTCCTTTGATTTTCACACGTGTGTCACCACGTGGCCCACCTTTGGGTTCTTTACATCATTCTGGGCTGCTCCCTGGATTTGATCAATGTGGGCCATGAGTCGCATTGCCGAAGGCCCTTTCTGACTTCCCTGGTTTGGAGCAGAGTGGGGTGTCCTACCGTGCTTCCTTCTCCCCCACCGAGCAGTGTGTTCTGCATGTGGGGCTTTGTGCATCCCCTGCTTCTGCTGGGCTGAGGCTCTTGAGAAGGGGCCCAGGGCCCTGGCCATCCAGTGTTGTTGGGTGCCTTCTAGGGACTGTTGGGAGCTCCTTAAGGATAAGGACTGGGTCATCTTTACCTAGATCTCCAGGGCCTGGCCTAGAGGAAATGCTGGGGGCCAGCCCCATCCCTTACTGAGCTCATGGCCTTGGGCAAGAGACTCTACCTTTATGGACCCCAGTTTTCTCATCTGCAAAATTGTCCTCTCAATTACCAGGGTTCTAGGTACAGAACCCACTAACAGTGGTGCTAAGACAGTGGTTCTCAGACTTGAGTGAGCACCGGTGTCACTGGAAGGACTTGTTAAAATACTGATTGCTGCAGCCACCCCTCGAGTTTCTGATTCATTAGGTGTGGGATGGGGAAACGGAGCCCAGGTGGCACAGTGGTTAAGTGCTTGGCTGCTAACTGCATGGTTGGCAGTTCGAACCCACTAGCCACTCCATGAGAGAAAGATGTGGCAGTCTGCTTCCGTAAAGATTACAGCCTTGGAAACCCTATGGGGCAGTTTTACTCTGTCCTACAGGGTCGCTGTGAGTCGGGAATCGACTCAACAGGGTTTTGGGGGGTGGAGAAGAAACCTTACATTTCTAACAAGTTCCCAGGTGCTCCTGACAAGTACCAGCTGATGCTAAAACCACATTGTCGAAGCAGGTATCAAAGGCCCTGACGTTTAGCCTAGCAAGGGTGTCGGTCAGCATGGGACCTTGGCTGCTAGGTGAATGCCTGCCCTGTTTGTGAGCCTGGTCTTCCTTTTTTTTTTTTCCTAGCTGAGCAGTGTACACATACGCAAAATGTTGCATCCTGTTTTCCGGGAAATTCGACCCTGGATGACCTGAGACACTTAGTTTTCCGATCGACTATTTTTATGGAAGCTCTTTATCTTCGGACTCTCCTCGGAAGGCCTGGGGAAACATTGTTTCTTGCCTTCAGGTAATTCTTGCTCTTAC